TCCGACGGATGGTAAATATTACTAATTTTTTAAGTTATATATATTTTTATTCATAATATTTTTTACTAATTATTTTTAACTTTATTGTTTAGACTAAGGAGATGGGGAGACCACCATTGATCATTGAGTTGATTACGAGGACTCGGACAAAGAAATCAGGAGGTTTTGTCGACGACCGCACCAAGAAAGCTTTTGTAAGTAATTTAACTTATGTTTTTTTTTAAAGTTAATAACAAAAATAGTGACGTTATTTCCACGTGGCAATCTATAAGTTGTGGCGTGATTATCATGTGGCAACTGATAAATTGCCAGGTGACTGATTTTCATGTGGCAACTGATACATTGCCACGGGAAAATCACGTGGCAATTCATAAGTTGATTTGTGAAAATCACGTGACAAATTTTTAATATATTTGAATTTAGTATAATTTAATATATAAATGTTTTAATTTTTTTTTAATTGTATTATTTAATGTATGTGTAGGATGATTATCAGACATTGCTAGCACGTTTTCTGGAACACAATCCGCAATATAGGCCAGCAGAAGGGGAGCCGCTTAATGGTGATGTTGATTTCTATATTTGGAATGAGGTTGTTAATGGAAAAGGGCCTAATGGTTGCTTTTTTGCGGGAGGAAATTTGGCCACCGGCTTGAGAGTTGGTGATCGTAATCTGTTTCAAAGACTTAGAGATGGAGAAGAGGGGTCACGTCAACCCAATCTGACACAGGTTCAACTTGAAACAGTACGACAATTGGCGGCCAGTGAAGTGAGATGCGAAATAGAGGCCCAAATGACGACAATGAGGCAAGAGCAGGAGCGTCAGTTAGAGATCATGCGGAAGCGGCAATCTGATATGGAGGAGCAGATGAGACAGTTTATGCAAGGTGGTCGAAATCAAAATGTTCCTGATCATACACAGCCGGATGATGACGGAATTGATGACTTTGATCTTGATAATTATCCGGGTGAAGATGCCCCGTGAAAACATTTTTTTTATTTCGTTTTTATATTTGCATTTATGTAAGATATTTATTTTTATCATTTTAAATTATTAAATTATATAACATTTAATTATATGAATTTATTTTATAAAATTCTATTATTCGAAATATAAAATAAAATACTATTATTCTAATAATTTTAATATATAAATTTTATTATATAAATTTTATTATATAAATTTTATTATATAAATTTTATTATATAAATTTTATTATTTAAATTTTATTATATAAATTTTATTATTTAAATTTTATTACATTAATTAATTAATATAAAAAATAATTACTAAACAATTTTTTAAAAAATAAAAACGTCACCTGTAGCGACGTGGGAATCATGTCACAAATTAGTGACATGATTCTCACGTCGCTAATAAAGCTGCTATTATATTCCCTGCAACAAATATGTTGCGACGTGAATACCACGTCACAACTTTGTGACGTGGGAATCACGTCGCTACTGGCTTGCCACTGGCTCCCCAGCGACATAAGTCACCACGTCGCTAATTTTGTTTTGCCACGTGATTTTAATGTTTGCCACGTGATTTTCACGTGGCAAATAAGCTTCTTTTTTGTAGTGAAACTAGGTTATCTCCAACAATGAATAAAAATATTCAATAATGAATAAAAATATTGCAGCGGTTCATATCTCTAAGTCCAACAACTCTTCAAAGTTCAAAGAGATTCTCAATCGTCGTCATCGCCACCCCTAAAATCACGCTTTCAATCCTCCAAATTAATTTGACGATGAATGACATTGATTGTAGTCGTTTCAATCCGTCGATTTCGCTCCTTGTAATTCTCAATTTAAGATACTGTTTTGAATCTCTGTTCGTAATTCTTCATCTCAATTCTCGGTTCTTACTCGCAGTCGCAGCAGCTCACCTCAATTTGTTTTCTGGTTTCGAATTTCGGTCTGTTTTCAAGTAAGTGGTTCGCTATCATTCATTGTTTTCTGTTCGATTCATCTCAATATGTTCTAATTTTTAATTTGTTTGATTTTTAAAGAAATGAGCACATATACGTCCTCTGATCCAGTTGCTTCGTCTTCTCAATCTGATATTATTAGCAACCATATTCAAGTATCAAAACTTAATTTTATGTGGTTTATTTTTACAGTAGGAAATGTTGATTAATGTTACAATGGTACAACAATGTTATAAAAAAATTCTCAGAAGACTACACTGAATTAATCATAATTTTTGTAGATTATATTGAGTTTTTATATGTGAAAGAAATTTTGCAGTTTTGTTTTGTGAGAGGTGTGTAAATTGACTATTTATAGAAATTGAACCTTGATGTCAAAAAAACTAATATAACAAGGATTTACCAAGGAACCAAAAGCAAGTACCTTTGAACCTTGATGTGTTGGCAGCTGCGCTTGGAAATTTTGCAGTAATTTTGCAATTTTGTTTTGTTTTGTTTTAAAACAATTGAAATATATAATGTTCAAAATGTGATATATATTGTAATATATACTGTTCAAACTGTAATATATATTGTCTTGTGCTCCATGTTTTGTTTTGAAAATACTGCTTATTTAATGGTTGAAAATATTGTTTTACTGCTTATTGTAACACTCTTTGAAAATACGGTTCTACATTGCAGGGTGAAAAAGTCGAACCTCCACATATATTAGAACAAATTAATGAAGTGAATAATGATAAAGAAAATGCTAATAAGAAAACCTATTAAACCTAGATCTTGGACTTGAGAATATTTTACAAAAATAAGATCAAGAGCTAAGTGTAATTGATGTGATGTAACATATGCTGCTGATTCACAAAGAAATGACACTAGTAATTTAAAACACCATCTGTTGATGAAATGTAAGAAGTTTCCCAAAGAGTCTATTGATCCCACTCAACAGACTCTTGTTCTTCATCTATTTATTCTGTTTCTGTTATGCGTGTTCGCTGCTGGAACTCAATTGACGTTGTTACGTTTCTGTTATGTTGTTGGATTTATGCTGCTGTTTCTGTTACCATATAAAGACTTTCTATTGTTTTCTAATTTCTACACATTTCAGAACAGAACATATATAATAATAACCGAGAGTTTCTATTGCTGCATTATCTATGGATCAAGCTATGGTAACAATAGACTTTCTATTGCTGCATTTCTATATATATTTGAATTTAATGTAAACTGTTATGTATTATTATTCTATTATTCTATGGTACACTAATAAAGCCGAATAAAGCCGAATCAAATAAATCGAATAAATTAAATCGGATTGGATCGAATTTTATATGGTGTCATTCAAAAACTGATCCAAACTGCATGATCTTTAAATCTTTGGATCAGATGATTTTTTATCTCAAAACCAATACAAACCGAACCGTAAACACGCCTAATATCCATTAAAACATTTTATTCCTGTCCGTGACGGATTTTATTCATAAATACCTACAGATAAAGGTTTTTTTGCCCTCTCTAATTTTACTGATCCTCTTTAAATAGACCACTAAAACTCTTTCTCTTTCTTCACAATTAACTAACCTGAAGACCATTAATTAAATAACTTTCATTTTTTTTCTTCACTTTTATCCGCTTGGTATATTATTAATGATCCTTGTTGCATAAATGGAACAAAAATCACGTTGTTTTCGTGTGAGCCTTTTACCTTTTAATGATCCATTAATTATTTTACAATCATGTTAGTAGGTGTTTTTAAAATACAATATAAAATATTTTAATTTTTAATTTTTCTTAAAACAATTTTTTAAAAGAATTGAATACTAAAAAGGAAAATTTAAAAGAAAACACTTTTATTCATGAAAAACCACACATTTTTTTTTTAATTTTTCAAATGAAACAACACACTAGAGTAATTAGTACAACACAAATAATATTAATTCGTCAAATAAATTACTACTTTTTTAGTGATAGATTGTTTTTTAAGAAAACAATTTTCGTTAAGTTTTAAATTTTAGTATTCAATCGTTTTTCTAAAAAGATGTTGTAAAAAATCGGTTGTTGTATTTTAAGAACATAAGACTTGATTATAAAATTATTATTTTTAAAAATTCTTTTTCATTAAAAGTCTAAACAAATCAAATGAAAATACATTGTTTTCTCTTTATTTTTGCTGGAACCATCATTAGTATATACTAGGAGTGAAAAAAATCAAAAAGATGAGTAATATTACATTAATATCTTTAAAGTTAATTAATTGGGTAAGAAAGACAAATTATTTTATTGGTTGAGGGTTCATGGAGTTTCAGTTAAGGGACTATATTTGAAGAATATCAAATTTAATTCTTAAGTGGAAATAATGTTGGGCTAGGTCAGACCTCGAGGTTCAAACTATTTTAATCGTCTTGTTATGTGAACTGGACATCTCGTGAAAGCGAAGAAAAAAATGTATCATGCGATCCAAGAATATTTGGATAAGATAAAGGAGATCTCTTTCAATTTAATCAAAAGTTCTGAATTCGATCCATATAATATCTAGATAACAATCAAGCAACCAAAATAAGTATTTTTAAAAACCAAAAAAAACCATAGTAAGTATTAAGTACAATACCAAAGTTTAGCGATTCAAATTACATAACATGATCTAATAAAACAAGAGTGAAACATTTTAAAATCTAAATTATAATTATCAAGATTAATAATATTAGATATATTCTTACAACACCAAAGTTTTTAAGTTTTGAGGCTTTTTTTTTTTTAAACAGGATAGTGGATTGTTTTAATATATGGCATAGCTGGATGCCTTACAAAATGGCTTTGCCCGTACTTGCACAATTTTCCTTTAACAAAATGTTTGTTCCAGAAAATAGGTCTTTATTCGTTGTAGATATTTTTGTTTGCTTTCGAGACGAAATATGTAATTTGAAGAAAGACCAAGCAGATGATGTTGAAGGAATGTTGTCCATGTATGAAGCCTCATTTCATTCATTTGAAGATTAAACCATATTGGATGAAGCAAGAGATTTCACAACAAAGTTTCTCAAAGAATATTTGAACAAACATGGAGATGATAATGTTATGTCACTTCAAATAAGTCATGCTTTGGAACTCCCACTTCATTGGAGAGTTCCTAGATGGGGGGCTCGTTGTTTCATCAATATATACGAAAAACAGCAAAATAAGAATAATGTTTTACTTGAGTTTGCTAAATTGGATTTCAACATTTTACAAACCAGCTACCAAGAAGAACTAAAGTATGCATCAAGGTAACAAAGCTCAAATTATTATCTATAAAACTTTTGGGTTTCTATAAAATTTTCACGTTATCTAAAAATTCTAAGTTTCTCTTTACTAAAAATAGATAATATTTATTCATTGAAATTGATAAAGTACATCATTACAATACAAATTTAAAATTGTCAAAAATAAAAAAGATGATTATGCGAATAAACTCACAATGTCATGTTAATAGCATAAAATAGCAAATTACACAAGCTATAAATATGACTGTATTAAAGTATTCGAAATATTTATGTCTCCGGATCTGTAGCATTAATTACACCAAAGTCATAGATTGGATCTGCACTACATGAAAACTATTTTTCAACCTGAAACAAATAAACACCGCACAAAGACGGAAAAATAAAATATACCGCACAAAGATGAGAAATTAAATCACACTGCACAAAGACGGGAAATAAAAACAAACAACGACACACTAAATATATGTGAAAATTATTTATTTAACTAATAGAGAAACAAAATTGATTTAGAGGAATGATTTTAGATCAAAATCGATCCTAAATCACCCTTTCATTGAGAGATAAAGAAGAGAAGAAAAGTGATGACGGCTAAAGTTAGAAATTCTCTTTAAAATATCTAAAAAATCTAAGTAAAATCAACAAATTTTTATGTAATTGATCTTATTTTAATGCTTAATTTTGCTTCAAATACTCTTAATAAATTGTTTATTTTATGTTGCAACATTGAAAAGATATATTTTGATTACATTTTTTACATAAATAAATTACTTATTTATTAGGCATAAATATGTTTTGAAGATATGAATATAAAGGAAAGTGATATATTCTCTAATCACTACTAAAAATAAAATTTTAAAATATGATAAAATATAATTGTTGGGATTCGAAGATTTGTCTCTCTAGTTATTTTATTTTTGATTTTTAATAAAATTGAGGTAATAGGTCATAAAAAAATTTAAAAAAATTAAAACATGATAAAATATAGTTGATGGAATTTGAAGACTCAATTTTGGGGTCGGCATCAGTTTTGGAGCGGAGGCAGTAATTAGCAGTTTTCAGTTGTCATCTTTGCAGTCTGATTTAGATGGTAGGTGACTTACTGTTGCAGGCATTATACTGTGTGTACCTTGGTGCTGTGAGTTTTGCTTGCTTCATACTTTCTTAAGTTTCATTTTACTTAGTTTGTAATTTAGTATCTTGGAATTTGTTTTTTATTCTGATTTAATGTTTTGTGGCTTTGGATTCTATAGATGTAATGTTTTTCTTGTATGCCTTGTTATTTCTTATGCCTAAGTTTCTAACAATGTTTTTTTGCTGTTTCAAAAAAAAAATATATAGAAATTGTCATTTACTAAAATTTTATTTTTCTTTTATTTGTTAAGATGGTGGAAAAGAACTGAAATAGGGGAAAAGTTAAGATTTGTGAGAGACAGGGTTGTTGAAAACTACGTTTCGACTGTGGGAATGAGTTTTAAGTCAGAATTTGAATATTTTTGAAAAGTTATAACAAAGGTTCATTCCTTAATTGCCACAATTGATGATATTTACGATGTGTATGGTACCTTGGAAGAACTAGAACTCTTCACAGAAGCAATTGACAGGTAACTACACTATATTTATAAGGTCACTTTATGGTGGATATTGCTAAACATACCATTTTCTTGTGGTTATACCATTTTCTTGTGGTTTTAGATGGAATTTAAATGCCGTTGATACTCTACCATGCTACATGAAAATATGCTATTATGCCCTCTATCACTTTGTGGATGAAGTTGAAATCTTGAACAAGACTGGGTACTCTATCACTCCATACTTGAAAAAACAAGTAAGTAACATTTTCTTTTTTCTTGATTATTTCTATTTGGTATAATATTTTATTTATAAGATGTTATTGTGATAAATAGTGGACAGGTCTATGTAAATCATATTTGACTGAAGCAAAGTGGTATCATAGTGGATATACTCCAACCTTTGATGAATACATAGAAAATGCATGGATATCCATAAGTGGACCTCTTATACTTATCCATGCTTACTTTGTTATTCCACATTCATTCAAGCAAGGAGATTTGGTTTGTTTAGAAGAAAACAACAACATAATTCGATATTCAGCAATGATTTTGCTTCTTGTCAATGACCTCGGAACAAGTGAAGTATGTTGTCAATTTCAGTTTTATTTCTTATTTTTTACAATTTAATATTTTATTTTCACTTAATTAATGTTACACATCACTTATATGAAGTAAGAATACAATCAAACCTTTAACTTTTCTTAATTAATTTTTTTTCCTATTTTTGAAGCGTGAAATTGAGACCGGTGATATCCCAAAATCAATTCAATGTTATATGAAAGAAACTGGAGCTACTGAAATAGAGGCTCGTGAGCATGTAAAGTCACTACGCCAAAAATGATTTTTTGTATCACCTAATTTAATAGCACTTTTAAAAAAAATGCTATTAAAATGGAAAAAACACATTTATAATAGCACTTTTTAATCGGGCGCTATTATATAATACAGACTATGTAATTATGATAGCACTTTGTACCAGAACGCTATTATTAAACTTCTTTAAGATAGCATTTTGTATAAAATGCTATTATTTGACTACCTATATAATAGCATTTATTAAAAAGCGCTATGTTATATATAATAATGAATTAATTAATTAATTGATAAAAAAAAAAAAAAAAAACATTTTCAGATCCACTCACCGCCAAAAACAAAAACATTTTCCTCCTACTCACAACACCATCTTCTTCTCCTTCTCCTATACCAAAAACCCTTTTCAAATTCTTCTCCATTTCCACCACTAACCCACAATCTTTCACCGTCTCTTACCTCATCAACAACTGCGGCTTCTCCCCAGAAACCGCTTCCAAAGCTTTCCAAAATCTCACTCTCTCCAACTCCCAAAAACCCGATTCAATTCTCGCCTTCTTCACTACCCACGGCTTCTCCATCTCCCAACTCCGCGACATCATCAGACGTGAACCCTGGCTACTCTCATGCGACCCCAACAAGGTTCTTTTACCAAAGTTTCAATTTTTACTTTCCAAAGGCGCTTCTTCCTCTGATATTGTTCGTATTGTTAATTCAAGCCCTAGACTTCTTAGAAGAAGCTTAGAGAATCATATAGTTCCTGCATATCAATGTGCAAAAGGGTTTCTTCAATCTGACAAAAAAACCATTGCTTGTGTTAAACGTTTTTGTTTTCTTTGTCAAAGTGGGCTGCCTGAAAATGTCAAATTGTTGCTTGATAATGGAGTTTCTCACTCTAATATTGCTAGGCTGTTTCATTGGTGGCCTAGTATAATTTGCTCATTTGATTTGTTGCACACTGTTGAAGAACTGAAAGAACTCGGTTTCGATGGCTCCACTTCCGCTTTTAGTAAGGCGTTTCTCGCGAAGAGAAGTGCCACTAAAGCGCAGTGGGATGAGAAAGTTGAAACCTTTAAGAAATGGGGCTGGTCTGATGAACAGATTCTTGAAACATTTAAGAAGCATCCTTTCTGTATGCTGGTATCGCCTCGGAAAATCAATGCAATCATGGATTTTTGGGTTTACCACCTAGGTTTGGATTCTTTGGACCTTGCCAGAGCTCCTGGAATTCTTCAATGCAGTCTCGAGAAGAGGATTATTCCTAGAGCTTCGGTTGTGCAGTTTCTTATCTCGAAAGGCTTGCGACGGAAGGATGCAGGCGTGTATACGCCGTTTGTTGTATCTGAGAAGTTGTTTGTGGAGAAGTTTGTGAAAGGCTTTGAGGAGCATTCTTCTGATCTCATAAAGCTTTATGAGGAAAAACTGAATCTTCCAGATGGTAGGAACGACATTCAGCTGGTGTGAAACATCTTGATCGAGTTTTGGTTTGATTTAACTAACCGGTATTACTCGGTTGAAATATTTGCCCTGCGTTGATGCCTCACAATTTTTTTATTAACAATCATGCTAGCTACTAGTTTTCATCAAATGTCATTCCTTATGAAATTTTCTTTTCCTGCTGAATTTTGACATGTTTCGAGAACACTATCCGTAGATTAGGTGACTCAGCAAGGGAAGAGGCGGAAGAGGAAAGGGGACGGTTCGAGCTAGCATGTCCAGCAGAATTACTGATGATAATCATTGGTCTTGTGAGCAATGTACCTATGCGAATGTCAGATCTGCCACTGCATGCCAGATGTGTATCCGGTAATATTTCTTTTTTCAGTTTCTGCTATCCGTTGATTCTCTGTGTTCGTACCTGCTGATATTGTGTTCGTCATCGATGAAAAACCACACAGCGTCTTCACTCGTGAAGGAAATGATCTGGTAGCCACTCAGAAGATCTCTCTTGCAGAAGCATTATCCGGCTGCACAGTGAATCTCACGACACTTGATGGTAGAAACTTGACTATAATCGTCAACAATGTCGTTCATCCTGAGTATGAGGAAGTTGTTCCAAGAGAAGGAATGCCACTGCCAAAGGATCCAACAAAGAAGGGAAACTTGAGGATAAAGTTCAACATCAAATTCCCACCTCGGCTCAATGCAGATCAAAAATCGGGATTGAAGAAAGTCTTGGCTGCATAAAGTAAGAAATTAATTGCATAACTTTTGTGGCTTCTTTGCATGAACAAAATGTAAATTAGATTTACCATAATCTTGACAGAAGGCTATTGGAAATTTGGTTGTTTTTTTTTTATATAGAATATTATTACTTAGTATAGTGATTCAAATTTTTGGATTGATATTTGGTCTATTTTATGGTTGGTTATACAATGAGCTAAAGTTTAGTTTTATTTATAACAGTGGTTAATGTTCATTAAAATTTTGGTACATGCTGAACTCCAATAATATTCAAATTCATGGGACGAGTCTCAGTCAACCAATTTAGTTGTAAATTTAGTCAATTGAACCATAAGCTAGATGTTTGATTTAGTATATCCAGTTGCCTTAACATTTAGAGGTAAATCTACAAATTTTCATGTTCCAGTTTCTCAAGTGCATCAAGTTCAAGCTGTGTGTGGCTTGGATGATTGGTGTGTGGAATTGCCGTTATAGTCTGAGATAGGAATGATGATTTCTCAATCTTGAAGATGTTCTGTTAGGTATGGAAGAAGTGTCATGATTGCCAATGGCTTTTATAAGTATTTGAAGGAATTGTTTGGGCTGAAATGATTGGATCAGGAGTTGTGGTAAGATTGTCTGTGCTGAAATTTGTAAGTGCAAATGGGAAATAGTGTGCCAGAAAGTGTATGGCGATGGTTAAGTTTTTTGATAAGCAAGTATATGTTCATGGAAGGAAACATGTCTTGATACAAATATTTCTTTTGAGGCAATGTCAAGAAGGACATTGCATTTCTGGCCAGATATGTATATCTTAAGAAATATATATTTTTTTAAACTTTTGGATCAAGTTTGGTTCTGTGCACAAGGATAGAAGCATAACATAGTGTGCCAAATATTTTTAATGAGTTTATGTCTGGAATTTTGTCATAAAGGAATCGGTAAGGTGATTTGTTTGTGTAGAATTAGAGTGATCACTCTATTTATGATGACTGAGGCAAATTGAATGATTTAGGACCAATAAGATTTTGGTAATTGAATACCCAATATTAGTATTATCTGAATTTTTTATTGCATTGCAGGCTGGATTTAGGTACCATCATGCTGAGTCAGATTACTTGATGCTTGTATATTGGATCCCTCATACCCCTGATAGCATTCCTGCAAATGCTTCACACCGTCTCGGCGTTGGTGCTTTTGTCGTCAATAACAAAAGAGAGGTAATCTTCTTCCTCTTTCATTTCTCTTTCTCATCAATCATTCTGTTATATTATACTTTAAACAGTCTCGTTTTGTTTGATAGGTGCTTGTGGTTCAGGAAACCAGTGGTAGATTTGGAGGCACAGGTGTATGGAAGATGCCTACTGGAGCTGTTAATGAAGTATATATCAACATGATTATTCATCAAATTATGAAACTTATAATATGTTCTTTTGATTCATTTTTATCATATTTGCAGGGCGAGGATATTTGTGATGCTGTAATTAGAGAAGTGAAGGAAGAGACAGGGGTAAGCAAACACAAAATATAGTACAGATTAAATTGTTCTATTTCATTTTTTTCTTGTCACCATCTGTTATTAATATATTTAACTAAACATTCTTCAAAATTTATATTACACCATTGTATATTAAAACAAAAAATGGACTATTCATTTCGAAGTCTTAATGCCATTACTTTTGTTCTTCATGTAGGTAGAGACAGAGTTTGTTGAAGTTTTAGCTTTCAGGTAAGAGTGACTTACACACACCAACCTCGTCAACTAGCATGCAGTCTGAATGTTGGCACAACTATATCTTTTACACAAGAATCATTAGAATGCATGCATATAGTTCACAAATTTTCTGTCTTCAATATCTGGCCTGCTACTGACCTTTATGTTTTTCTTCCTGTCTCTTTGGTATCAGGCAAAGCCATAAATCTTTTTTTCAGAAATCAGACTTGTTCTTTGTTTGCATGTTGCAACCTCAATCCTTTGACATTCAAAGTCAGGCCTCAGAAATTGAAGCAACTAAGGTATCTTTATAAAGTTGTAGGATGTTTTTTGACTGGTGGTGACCATATTCCAACATAGTTTGTTTTTCTATTCAGTGGATGCCTGTTGAAGACTATGCAGCCCAACCTTTTGTGCAAGAAAACGAGCTCTTTGATTTTATTGCGAAAATATGCTTATCGAAGTTGAATGACAACTACACTGGTTTTTCTAACGTACCTACTACTACATCTTCTGGCAAAAAAACTTATCTGTATTTAAACAATGATGCTATTGGTAGCCACTTGTTAGCTTCCAAAGAGCAAGCTTAGCATGAAGCTTGCTTTGTTAGTCTCAACAACCATTTGCTTCGAAGTGCGCCTGAATCCTGATTTTATTATGATTTCATGACCATTTTATATTCTTTGTGTTCTTTGTATAGATATAACATATCATGTAACTAGGGATAGTATCTCTTATACAAAATATGATTTCATTTCATGATCTTTTATAATCTTTATATTCTTTGTATAGATATAACATATCATGTAACTAGGGATAGTATCTCTTATATACAAAATATGATTTTATTTCATGACCATTTCTAAACTTTGTATTCATTATATAGATATATCATATCATATCATGTAAATAGGGATGAATAGTATCTCATATATAAAATAGGCTCTATTGTTGTTTTACCACGCCTCATTCAACAAGTGTAGTACTATTTAATAGGGGAAACCCAGATTTTTCTGTTAGTTAAGTATAAAAGGTTTTGAGGTTGAATAAGCAGCTTCATTTATTAAGACTTGATTAAAATGCTACATTCATTACATTGATATTGGTAAGAAAGTTGTTGCGGAAATCACTATGGTTGGAAATCTTGCAATTAGCGGCACGGTTGAAAATATTGTACCAAATATGTACCATTTATTAGCACTTTATTTGAAAGCGCTATCAAATATATGTTATATATTAGCGCTTTTTGTTTAGAGTGCTATAAAAAAACAAACAAAAAACATGCAAAATACTGACTTTGATAGCACTTTAATTAAAACGCTATTATAAATTGGTACTTTAATAGCGCTTTTAAAGTGCTATTAAATAAGAAATATTTACAATAGTGGCGCGGTTAATAGCACTTTTAAGCGCTATCAAAAACAAAAAAAAGCGCTATTAAATAGCTTATTTGGCGTAGTGAGTCTATGATATATACAATTTGGAAGAAGTTGAATAAAGAAGCTTATAGTTCATCTTTCTCTCAAAGTTTCATAGATATTTCAGTAAATATTAGTAGAATGGCATTACTCATTTACCAACATGGAGATGGCTATACTATTCAATATCCAGAAATTCAGAATCGTATACAATCATTAATTTGGAATCCCATTCCTATGGATGGTTAAGTCTTAACTTGCGTGTGATTTTATCCATCATTGTAGTTGTTCATTTTAAATTGAGATGTAATACCTTTTATAATCAATAACTGAATAAATTACATTGTTTGGTCATTTCATTCGTGTGTTTCAAACTATTTGTAGAAGTTAATCTCTGACTTAGAAAGACATGGGACCCAACGGTTAGTAAGATGAGTACCCACAAAAAGAAATGAGATGATGAGTTATGTAACATCCTTTTATTTCCATATGTATTATTCATATAATTTATAAAATAATTCAAATAAATATTACCACTCAAGGGTATCATACTTCGTAGAAAATATCACAACAACAGTCTTGCTCCGTAACACGGGTAATACCAGTTAAAAACATATATTCGATCATAATTCATCACATTAATTAGAGATATCGTAGGAGAAATTCATCGTCATATATATATATATATATATATATATATATATATATATATATATATATATATATATATATATATATATATATATATATATATATCATAATAATTAACTTCTAAACAATTCATAACATTGATTTCATCACTTATTAAAACCAGTTTAAACAATCAAAACCGACATAGAGTATGCCAACCTCAAAATAAAATATATCATCCATAAAATAGAGTATTCCCAACTCGATGTTACATATTAGAGGAAGGAATCGAGTAAAATATATAAGTTGCACAAAACGCTCTATGACCTCAATCAGCCGGTACGACGCGTAAATCCCCAAAGGTCGGGTTGCACCCATATCTACTTGCCAAAAAGTTGCATACAAAACATTATCCGCCTTCGAGCATTTTTCTTTCGAAGATACCTCGTCAGGTATGAGCATGTGTAACACCCCGATATTTAATTATTTATTTAATTGAATATTGTTTTGAATATTTTATATTAATTGAATTTTATCGTCAAGTCGGAATTATTTTATTAAGTTGGAATATTAAATAATCAGATTTAATTTAGTGGAATTAAGTTGAGATATTATTGTTATTATTAAGCTTAAAAATGATAATTGACTTATGTTATGGCGTCAAGAAGTAAAAGCGGGGTGTAGCATTTAGGCCCAATTGAATTTATTGGATTAATAGAACAATATATATTATTATTAGAAAATAAGAGAGGAAAAGAGGATAGTGTATCGGGAAAAGAAGAGAAAGAAGAAATAGGGTCTTGTGAGAAGAGAAGAGGAATAAGAAGGCTGCTGCTTGGGCCAATCTCAGGAATTTCATTGAAGCTTCCTTGAGTTGTCATCAAACCAAACCAGGTAAGGGTGGAGTTTCTTATCCTATAATGGGGCTTATGAGAAATTGTATGTGGGAATTTAGGGTGTAAATTTATTATTGATTGTGTTTGTTTGTGCCAATTGATGTTAGGAAATAATCAGTGTTGAGTATTGGTAAAAATTCATGTTTCTGTGTTATACGTCGGTCTGTGAATCAAATGAAATTGGAAAACTAACAGGAAGTTGCAGAAAATTATATGTATCGTGGGCATGCCAATCGGCAGGCTATGGATAAGTGAGAGTTGAGATGTTGTTGGCTGCCGAACGGCAGGGGATGCTGCCGAATGGGTGCTGTCGACCGGCAGGTGGTGGATAGAAGTGGTGTGTGCTGGTGCCGAACGGCACACCCT